AGAACAACCCAGAGAGCCCGATACTCCTTAGTTTGAGACTATACTTTGGGTACCGCCAGCACCCAGTAACAATCCATTAATAGGGGAAAACATAGAGGGCTTTATATATTCATATCTTAATCTTTATCCAACTGTTGCTGGCAGGGGGCAGTACCCAAACTATATTCTAAATCCTAGAAGGGATCCCAGCACCGTTGAGGACATTATTCCTCAACTAAGGTATACTAGGCTCCCTGGGTACTGTTTTTTCCTACCACTCATGCATGTCAGTCGAGCCGTAGCGGATACAATCCGGTGCACAATTACGGGGACTGAAGAACTAACAGGCATTCCCCCCTAAACCCTAACCGTTAAGGGCCCTAAGTGCCCTAAACCCAGAGCCCCAGACCACCTAAACCCTAAACTTCCAAACTGTCAGTTCTATATTGCCCCTGTGTTTCCATGTCTTTTTTCCATTTGATTCTCCATTATTGGGGGGTATAAACCTAAACCCCTCGTCTCCTACATCTGAAGCCCTATAAGGCCCCTAAGTGCAAGAAGAGCGGAATTTCAGACCTGAAGGCTCAGGGGACTTCGTAAGTAGCTTGCAAATGGGGCTTGAAGTCACCTAGTTGGGGCTGGCCTTCTTATACTACAGGGCACTGAATAATTACCAATATCATTTTGAGGTCCATTTGAGGTACCATAGACCAAAAATAATATAAGGAATATGGAACCACAATATTGGCAAGTATTTAGGCCCCTCTATTCATCCCCTTTTTAGACTTTTCAGTAGGCACGCTCCTGATGAAGTTTTCCCTAGTCCGAGCAAAGCCCCTCTCAGCTCATACAGGCTCGGGTTTAGGGGTTTAGGGTTTAGGGTTTAGGGTTTAGGGTTTAGGGTCAAACCCTTCCAAGGGCTCTTGATTCCATAGCATCCCCCTGCATACCTAATACTGGACAAGATCTCGGGAATCTGCTCGTGACGATGGGTTTAGGCACATATGATGAGTTGGGAGTAATAGGGGCTTTTAGGAACTATAGAGGACCTCTTTTGAGAAAGGCCTATCCTTCGAAGTTCCCAACTAAACACTAAACCTAAATCCTAAATTTCCAAAGCCTAAATAATACCTCAAGCCTAAAATCCCTAAACCGTGACTCCGGAACCATAGATCTTAGGTGCACCCCCTGCTCTGTAATAGTGCCTAAAAGGGATAGTAAGGACTATATTAGGGTCCTCTTACATTCCAGTTATACCAGTATCACAGCAGGGGGGATCCTCTGTGCATAGATCTTGTTAGGGAAGTCTTCGAGGCCGCGACGGTCACGCGCTCTGGTCGCAATCGTCTGGTAGAGCGGCTGAATGTTGCGCTTCAGACGCCTATCCTGGGTGCAGTAATTAGGGTTTAGGGTTTGTAGTCACCCTTAAGCAGATAGAATATGGCTTTGGGTACACTATAATCAGATCCCCATATACCCCATATTCTATCTACTTAAGGGGACTATGCGGTTTAGAGTTTAGGGTTCCGGGTGCTGGGAGTAGTGGTTTTGGCATGATCCCTTTTAAGGGCTCCTATCATCTCTTGGGGCGCCCCCAGTTAAGTTTAGGGTTGAAGTTTAGGGTTTGAGGGTTTAGGGGTAGATGATTTACCGAAGACCTCATTCAAGCGTTTCTCCATGTAGGGATCACCCTCTATACCTGCAAAAGCACTGGGATCCAAATGCGATAAACTAAGAAGTTGTAGAGTTTATCACTCTAGACTGTAATATTTCGATTAATAGTAATACTGGTAAGGATAACAATAAATTAGTAATAACAATAGTAATAGTAGCAATAGTCAATAGTAACAATTGTGACACTAGTAACTAGTACAGTATTAAAATTAATAGACGAATACTAAGAGATGAAAACAAACGTGGGTCAAGCCAAATCTGAGCCTACCGCAGGATATGGTTGATACTAAAAATCCTGCATGACCTAAATATACTGTAGTACCATAATTCCCAATGTATAAGGTACTTAAGGACATAAGCCCTAAACCCTAAATCCCTAAACCCTAAACCCTAAACCCTACTAAGGCCCTGGCGGACGTTGTGATACTGGCTTCGGCCGACCAGGCGCCTTTGCAACGTGGGGTCACTTGAGCTACGGTGACCTAAGGGATTAGGGTTTAGGGATGAGGGTTTAGGGTTTAGGGTTTAGGGTCCAAACTCCCAGTATCTCCCTTAATAGCCCCTATAATGGAGAATCAAACGGAGAAGAAAATGGAAAATGAAATGGAAACTGGGATTATATAGGGGATCATAGGGGTTACAGTCTAAACTCCTGGTTTCCCCCTTAACGGCACCTGTAGTAGTCCCCTATATAATCTCTTATATGACACGCCTTTAAGGAGTTTAGACTATAGCTTACTTGTGGGCAAGATCGTACTGGGATCGTCTAAGGGCCTTTGGTGGCTGCACAGGACTAGAGGATACTGAAGGTTGTGTAAGCGGCCGCAACTGCAACACATGCATCCACCACGACAACTGTGAAGACAATAATAAGTTTAGCAGTGACTGCTGCACCTCCACGAGGATTTGTTTAGAAGATATACGAGACCACTTTCCCTATTCTGAAACACACCTTACCTCCTTACCTTAAATATGTCTCCAGATATGAAGGGTGTGTTGTAGACAAATCATCAACATCAGCGAGTGGGGGAGGGCGTCTGATGCAAAGTCAGGGCCCGGTTTGAACTTCTGAGGGTAGGTCCAGATCCACAGAATGCTAGTGTGAAGGTTTGGGTTGAGGGTTTAGGGCCTAGAGTTATAGGGTTTAGGGCGGCGTTTTTGAGGCTATGGCGGGACCCCGGCACAAAAAGCAACCCAATAACACGCATGAGCTCAGCTGACTGCAGGGGGCCTTAGGGTCTTTGCTAAACGCTATCCCTCTGAAGTAAACAGAACAGGGGGTATGTGGAGATCTTATTATAAATACCCCAAAGCCATATTCTATCTACTTAAGGGGGACTCTAGCCTCCCGAATATGATAAATAGGACACCCAAACAGTTGAAGTCCTACCCATACCCCAGGGCGGATCTACCAACTAGAACCCCCTTTAAGAGTTCGTAGAGACCTCCTAATGGTATAATTGTGTACCATATTGAGGGTTCTACCTTCTAGGTCCTCAAAGGGCTCTGGGTAAGATTTCAAGCAAAGTGGGCTTCACGCAGCCAGAATTGGGGGTACCTGTTGGGGGGTCCCTGCAACTTTACGGGTCCCTACAAAAAGGATTATAGCATTTTTGGATCTATATTGGGGTCCCCTAGTTTAGGAACCTAGCAGTAACTAGCAATAGCCCCAAGCCCTCCTAGCCCAACCCTCGCTGGGTCATCCTTATGAGGCCCTAGGGATAATCCCTACCCAGAAACCATTTGAAAACCCAAACCCTCAACCTGAAATCGCGTGACCGCTACCTCTCCCCATTTGGTTCTCCAACGCAAGAAACCCTCAAACCCGCAAGCCTGTAGTGTCCCCATATGAGCTGTAGTCTAAACTCTTAGTATCCCCCTCAACAACTCCCATAATGCTCCTCTATATAATCCCCTACATAACCCTCATTTACGGAGTTCAGATTATACCCTAAACCCTAAACCCTTTCTCTCAAGCTGAGCTCCTCACCATGCAGTGTTCCGCCTGCAGCGGTCACTGTGATACCTCGATATGTCCCGGCGTAGACATCCAGCTGTGACCTCGTGAGGGTTTAGGGTTTAGGGTTCAGGGTTTAGGGTTTAGGGTTTAGGGTTTTGGGCTTGGGTTTAGGGGCTGTACCTACCAAGGATTCAGAGGGATCAGAGTAAGGAAATAGAGAAAATGGGACAGGGATCGGGCCTTAGGTTGAAAGAATTGAGATTTGTTTTGGGGTTGGTATTTCGCCAAACCAATAAAAAAAGCCTAAACTATTCGAAGTCCCGGAGTCACGGCGAGGTCTCCAGAGGTCAAGTTTAAGACCCCCGAAAGCAGGATACATCCCATGGGGGGTATGTAGTTCAAAAGGTCCTCTTAAAGTCTTAAAGGAAGGACCATTGCGAATACACGTGCTGAAGAGCAGATCCTCACACAAAAACCTAGCTAGTAATTGGGTCAATCCCCACCCATTAACGGGTACCACGAGGGACTATTGTAGGTATATTAAAGCCGTATGACCTCCACATTTAGGGGCTATTACTATAGGGGGAGTGACCCTATTGACTTTTTTAGCCAGCGTTAAACCCTCACTCCTCAACGCCAAACACTGCAACCATGACCTTGCCAGGCCTCAAGTGACAAGCTACTGGAAGGCTCAGAAGACTTCCCAAGTAGGCTCTAAGTCGGGGTCATAAAGCCCCTAATGGGGGGTGGCCTGCCTTCATCCCAGTATTATCTAACTTGCTCACCGTCCCCTGACCCTCCAAGTAGTGTTCGTGTTTCCTAAACCGGGCATTTTCTTGCGACCCAAAATGTTGCAACCTTTCTTTTAAGGACCCCTTTCTCTAGCAGTTGGCCCTTTCTGCTAAGCTCAGTGTACAGTCTTTGAGCAGCGCTTGCCGAACTTCATCCCCATCCCCCTGTTTTTAAAACCCCCACATTCCTAATGTTGAATATTCCTATTGTAGGTTACTGTAATAGTATCTTGGGAATACATAAATGTCAGGGGGTGGGAGGGGCTTAATATCAGCCCTAAACCCGCAACCCAAAATCATACAGTGGCTTCCATTCTCTTTTCCATTCCCCTGTATACTCCGATACAACCCTTTAGGGGGGGCTTTACTATCGTTAATCGAGAAAACTATTGCCGCATGCCCAATGTAGCCCTGGATAGTCGCAGTGTCCATATCATGTTCTATGTACGTTTCCATTTGATTCTCCGCTATTAGGCTACCATTCCGAAACCCTAAACCCCAAATCCTAAACCCTGAATCCTAAACCCGAAACCCTATATTACCCCCATATTAATATAAAGGATCACTTCGAATGCTGGCTCCGCCAAGGGCCAGACGAGCTGATTTTGAGGTATGTGGAGTCGGAGCCGTCCGAAATGAGGGAGCTCCTGGAGGAGGGTTTAAGGGTTTATGGGTTTAGAGTTTAGGGTTTAGGTTTTAGGGTTTAGGGTTTAGGGTTTAGGTTTCCAGGGCTTAATGGAGGGCTTGGGGTTATCAAATGCTTATAAGTCGAATACTACTACGACTGTCAGGAGGACTTAAGCAGGCTAACAATGGGGATATTTCATGGCTTACAGCAAGTTGTAATTCGGTTCTTACTGCAATTACAACTACAACTAGGGTATCATTTCCCATGCATTTCAAAGCACACGTCACATGAAGCGTACCGTTCAAATCTCTAAGATGGTGTTGCTTTTCGGCATGAGTGGTTTTCTACAATTAGAGGTACATTTCGGGTCCCTATAATAAGGACTATAGCATTTTGGAGTCCATATTTGGGTCCCCCTATCATGCAGGGAAACTACTACCATGAAACCCTAAGCCCGAAATCCGGCCCGGGCGCTCCTGATTGTTCCAACCGATGAAGTGCTTCCGAGGTTGACAAAATCCAAGGCCGGCAATGCTGGGCCAAATCTTACGCTTGAGAAGGTGGACAACATGAATCCAGGTTGACACCTACTTCGTACCGGCAGAACGCTTCCCATGGTGGTCATGTCTGCCAAGGACAGGGTGAAGTCTAACCGTAAGCTGGCAAAGAGAGGCACTACGGAGCCCAATTGTGCGCAAGACCTCACCGGAATGAAGGGGCCAAAGACGTTCATGTCAAAAGCAAACGCGGCGGGCTCAAGGCAGACTAGGCCAAAGACTAGCATAGCAAGTCCAGTTCGACCGAAGGAGCGGGCGGGTAGGGAGGAACCCGCATGTGCGACATCGAAGGTCAAGGCACTCGAGCCCGCCCTTGCCATACCAAATGCGGGAAAGGCCAGGCCCATTTGAGCAAGACTCCGTGGTGGCAAGAAACTCTCAATTCTCGCCTCATCCAGCAGTGAAAGTATCAGGCCTAAGCAGAAGGAGCTTCGCAAAGACAGGGAAGAGTCGGAATGTGCAAAATCAAGGGCCAGTGGAGGCAGTTCCGGCCTGCCCATGCCACACACTGACAGACTCAACCCAATTCTGCCGTAATTTCGGGCTGGCAGCGTAGGCCCAACGGAAGCCCCATCGAAGGCCAAAATCAGGGGGTCTGGTCTTGCAATGCCGGATGACAAGGAAGCTGAACCACATCAGGCCGGGCTTTGCAAAGGAAGGCTGGGTCCCATGTGTGCGCAGTCTGGCATAGGCACAGAAGGCTCTAAACATCCCAGGCCGAACACCAGCATGAATGAGCCCAGGCAAGCTAAAGAACGGGCCGAAAGAGGTAAGCTGGTATGCCCCAGGCCCAAGGCAAACATTGAGGAGCCTAAATGCGCCGAGGCAAAGGCAGAAATTCCTGGGCCCAGTTGAGCGGCGCTGCGGAAGGGCACCGGGCTTCCCAAATGGCTGGAGTCTGACACCAAAAGAAACAAGCCAAGTCGTGTCATTCCAAAGGGCAACAGCCGAGGTCCGATGCTAGACATGGATCGAACCGGTGGCGAGGGCCCCATCTTGCTGGCATCCCATAAGGAAATCCCCACAGTCAGGCGTACCTTGCCGAAAGCGGAGGGAGGCAGTTCAGATTGGCCATAACTGTGCAGAGGCAGCAGCAGGCCCAGATGCAAAAAGTCCAGTACAAGCAGCAGGGGATCAAGACGTCCTAATCCGAAGAAAGGCACCAGGGAGCCAGGACATGCAGAGTCTCGTGTCAACGGAGACGAGCCCGCTGAATTTGCATCTAAGCATGAAGCTGGGGGGCCCAAGCAAGCCATGCCGAACGTCAGCATCAACAGCTCAAGATGGGCACAGCTTTGGGAAAACACCAGGGAGCCGAAGTGGCTACAGTCCAGGGCAGGCAGGGGAAGGCCTGTGCTTGTGAATCCAGATGTAGGTGAGGAAAGGCCAGTGCACTGTGGGCTCCTTACTGGGAGAGATGATCCCAAGCCCGAGGAGTCCATCACAGATGTAGGCGAACCCGGCCGACCGACACCAAACACGGAGAGGGCGCTTCCGAGCCGAGCGAAGCTGCGCAAGGACGTTGAAAGTCCTGAATGCAAGAAGTCGGAGGCTGACATCAGTGGCCCAAAGCAACTTCCACCCCAGGCAGGAGCTGCAGGCCCGAAGCATGATGGGCTTTGGACCAACATGGGCAGTTCAAAGTGAGAGGAGTCAAAGACTAAAAGCAACGGCTCTGGTCGGCCCAAACCCCACAAAAGCACCGCAAACTCTGAATGGGCCAAGCTTTGAGTTGATACCAATGGCCCAAAGTGGCTGCAGTCCAAAGCAGGAAGCAGCAGCCCCACCCTGGAACTTTGGAAAACTGGTGATGGTAAGTCGAGTCTTCCAGGAGACCGGGCTAACAGTGGGAATCCCATGTGTGCGAGGTCAGAGGCTAGCAGCAAAGACCCCATGCAACCAATACCCCAGGTCAACACCAAGGGATCTGATTAGGCACAGGACCGCAACAATGGTAAGAGCCCAAAGCTCGAGCGGTCACATGCGGGAGGCAACAATCCCGTGCGGCCAACACCCCAAACTGGGAGTGCCGAGCCCAAGCAAGCAGAGCTTCTTGCGGGCGCCGAGGAACCTAAATGCGAAAGGTCAAACACAGAGTGTTTTGACCTGGGACGCGCCTCGCCAGAGACCAAAGAAGGCAGCTCGGATCGCGCCATGCTTTGCAGCAAAACGGATGGGGCTGAGTGAAGGAGGTCCGATACTAGCAGCAAGAAGTCAAACCTGCCAGCCTCGTAAAGGGACGTCAAGAAGCCCAGACACATGCAGTTTTGCAGGGATGGCATGGATCCCATGGATGCACAATCGAAAGCCAGGAGACTGGAGTCTGTGCAGGCTAATCCAGAGATAGGCGCAGGAGGGCCGGCGCGTGCGAGATTTTGTGCAGGAGGCAGGCTGCCGGGGTATCCGAAGTCCGATGTAGGTGCGGGGCTTCCCACTCTCCCTGCACCAGAGGCCGGCGTTGAGAGGCCCATGCAGGCCGAGGATCGCACAAAAACTGAGAAGCCAGAAGCTGAGCAATCTAGGACAGGAGGCAAGGGGCCCATTCAAGCCAAGCCGGAGGCAGGCATAGAGAAGCCAAGTCTGGCCATGGATTGCAAAGGTGGCGCCAAGCCCAGGTTGGCGGGGCCCAGTGCAAAGAGGGTGGAATCAGCTCAGCCCATGCCAAATGCAGGAAGTGCCGATCCCAATCTTGCGGGAGACTGCGATGGCGAAGAGCTACCCAAGTGCAAGAAGTCGAAGACTGGCACCAAGGATCCGGTGCTGCCAAGCCCGAATAGAGGTACTAACAAGTCCAGTCAGGCCAGGCTTTGAAGCAGTGAGGGCAAGCCTGGATGGGCGCAGTCAGGCGTCAGAGCCGAAGGTTCTGGGCATCCTGTTCCGGACACTGGCATAGAAAACCCCAAGTGTGACATGGATCGCAGTGGAGGCGAGGAGTCCGGGTGCAGGAAATCCGGTGCGGAGAGCGAGGAGCCCATTCGGTGCAGTCCGCTCATCAACGGTGGCAGCTCAGGGCAAGCACTGCTGCGAATTGGTGGCGTGGGCCCCAAGTGTGCACAGTCAGGTGCAGATGCCGATGCGCCCACCCGGCCCAAGCCAAAGGTCGACGAAGCAGGGCCTGACCAGCCCATGCTGCGAGGGGATGCCAAGAAGCCCAGCTGGGAGAAGTCAAAAGCAGACAGGAGACTTCCGAGACGACCTACTCCAAATGAGGAAAAGGCCAACTCCATCCTGGCCAGGCTGCGTGGAAGGAGCCCTGGGCCTGGCCTACTCATGTCCAGAACTGAAGGGGACGAGTCAAACTCCCCTGCCCCAAATGCAGGAAGCACCAGCCCAGCACGAGAAGAGCTATGCAACGGTGGAGGCAGATCTAAGTGCAAAAGGTCAAATGCAAGCAGCGGTGGCTCAGGGCAACCCACGCCATAGGAAGATGCAGAAGGCCCCGGGCGCCCACTGGATTGCATTGGTAAGGTTAGGCCAAGGCTGGCACAGTCAAGTGCTGGCAGCAGCAAGCCAATGCGGCCAAGTCCAAAGGTTGACAACAAAGATCCACCGTGCGCGCAGCTTTGCAGAGACAGGATGGGCTCCGAGCTTGAGCGGTCCGATGCCAGCAACAACAGGCCCAATGCCGCCGCGCCGGAGATGGATAGCACGAAGTCTAGCTGGGCCGGTGATTGTGAGAACAGCAGGGGGCCTAAGGAGGCACTGTCTAATGCAAAAGGCAGGAAGCCAATTCTACCCAAGCCAGAGAGCAGAGTCAGTGGGCCAAGTCATCCGCAGCTCCTTGCCAAAAGCGTGGATCCTAGACCCGAGAGGTCCAGAACCAACAAGGATGAGCTAGACTGCGCAATTCCGGAGACTAAGGAAGCAGAATCATATCAAGAGAAGGATCTGGCAGGCATCATTGAACCAAGTGATGCGCGTGCACGCGCTAGAAGCGACAATCCCATATGTGAAAAATCCGGGACAAGCAGGGATAGGCCAAGGCGGCCACAGGAGGAGGTTAACACAACTGATTCGATTCAAGCCGCGCTTTGCGTCAGCAATGAGCTTTCCAAGCTGCTGCAATCCGGAACTGAGGAGCTCGAGCCTGCGCGTCCCAACCCGGAGGTTGGCAAAAAGGAACCAGGCTGGGTAAGGCTTTGTGCTAGAATTGAGCTGCCAACGCACAGCATGTCTGGGGGAGACACCGCAAGGCCTACATGACTGGAACTTCGGGCTGGCATCAAAGGCCCTATGAGCACATAATCTGACACTGACAGGGGCGGGCTAAATCTTCCTTGCCCCAACAAGGGAAACACAGATCCAGAGTGACTGCAGCTTCGCATTGGGGGCGTCAGCCCAAGGGTAGACATATCAAAGAGGAAGAAGGTCAGGGCAAATCGGCTGATACCAGAGATAAACAGGACAGGACCCATGCGTGTGTAGGAGCTGACAGACAAAGAGCTGCCCAACAAAGCTTGCTCATCCATGTTAATTGCGAAGGCCAGGCGCGCAACGCCTGCCACAGAGATATGCTCACCAGATCTGGCGTAGCAGCGGGTTGACATCAAAAAGCCGAAGAGGGCAAAGTCTAAGGCCAACAGCAGAAACTCGGAGCGCGAAGAGGCGAAGAGTGAAAACCTGAAGCCCAGGCTCACAAGGTTGTGCACAGAAGTTGGGCTGCCCAGGTTCACGAAGTCGCACAACAGCATGGTGGGACCGAATCTGCCAGCTCCGTAGGCAAACAGCTTGGATCCAGATTGCGCGCAGTTCCGGAGCAACATCAGGAAGTCAACGTCCATGAAGTCAAGAAGTGGAGCTGAGCATCCAGAGCGCGTCATACCAGATGGCAGCATTGAGGGTTCAGTTCGACTAGCACTCCTTGGCAGCAGCGTAGGTTCAGAGGTCGAGAAATCAGAGGCCAACAGACTTGAACCGATCCTGCCACAGCCACACAGCGAGGATAGGCTTTCAGGTCGCGCCGTGGATTGCGCAGACGTCACAAAGCCCAAGTTCACAAAATCACAGACCGGCGGCAAGGAGCCATAGCAGCTTGCGCCATAGGCCGACAACTTCAAGCCAAAGCGACCAAAGCTATGTGAAAACATCAAGAATCCCACACGTACGTCATCCAAGGGCGGAGTTGATGGGCTCATACGCATGCAGCCAGAGGTAGATACTGCAGGCCCCAGGTAAG